ATTCTTACCTTTAGGATGAAGACCTAGGGTGTTTCTCTTTAAAATCTTCAAAGGTGTATGCAAGAATTGAAGAGTAACTTCTAAAGTATCAGGTTTGCTCAAAACTGGCCCCTTACATCTATTTTAACGAAGTAAGGTCGGGTTTTAAAAACCCAGAATGAAGCTCCGGAACAGATTATGCGGTCGTATATGCGACCGCATAATGGTTATGCAGTCCGCGAAATGACCGCAAAATTGGGGTGCCAAAACTGGAAAGGAACTAACCAAGTCTGCGGTCACTATGCGGCCCGCAAACCTGTTATGCGGTTGCATAATGTAACTCAGAACGGTTCTGCGGTTGCATAGTGCACCGCAAAACCTCCCTCCGAAAAATCCCAAAGTGGGATATGCGACAAGAGTGCAGCCTGCAAAATGGTTATGCGGTCGCATAATGGGCCGCAAAAATGACATCAAAAATGGCCCAAAAGACTGCTCCACTTTGCGGCCATTCTGCGGTCCGCAGAGTGCTTCTGCGGTCGCAGAACGGATCGCAGAAATGCCTACTTCTGCCCAACATTTTTCTTCAACTCCCTAGCGCACTGTTCAATCCAAAAAGTCAGAAACACGGTTCACCGCGAAGAATTTCTACTATTATTAACCTCTACGCCTACCCCGGTATCACGGAACCTCGGTTTTTAGGAATTTTTTTTTTACGGGGCCTTATACCCTTCCAAACCTTCATATAAGTATGAAACCATGTTTATATAATAACATCCTTGTCTGTGGCCATTCGTGGGACGTAAAACAAAAAGTGGAGATTTTGAGACGTGCTAAACATCTTGAAAATATTGAGGGTCTTAAGAATATATAGAATCAAAATCCATTGGGAAAATAATTTTATATTGAGAGAGTTATACTTGCCCAAATTCAAGGGGTGCACAACTTAGGACATCCTATTCCACCATACATTTCCCACTTTCTCCAACCAAAAACGTTTTTCACTATTAAACTTCATTAACATGCTTCAAACAACTTCCCTCATAAATCTCCATGACCAAATTATATAGTTCCAATCCGTAGGCATCCTTTGGTGCTCAAAAACATTATCTCCATTCACCATTGGTTCACTTTAAAGTCCTAAATAATTAGAATTTTTTTTATGGGGCCTTAGACCAACAAGCTCTTGTGCAATTTCCCCCAGATTCAATAGCGGCGTCACTCCCTCCTCACTGCTTTGAACTCGTGGGTTACTCATCTGGAAAATTAGACATAACGAGGAAATTAGCTTCCTATCTTGAGTTCTATCGCACGATCCAGAGTATCAAAGAAGGGTGATATTCCTAAATTGCCAAGTAGCCTCCTAATTATAGATGTGGTCAACAACACACCGATAAGAAGGACTCTACTAGACATAGCCCCGAGACATCCTAAGACACTTTAAAACCTTAGGCTCTGATACCAAGCTTGTCACATCCCGACCTCGGGGAGCGCGACCAGCGCTCGACCGAGATACCCCGGTCAAGCAAGCCTACTTGATGCCTTCTACCCAACCTTACCCATGAACAATATAAGAATCAATAATAAGAGATAGACGTGAGAAGAGTAAAGAGTTCCCCATTCGTTTTCCATTACTTAAAGGAGCTTCGTTTACAATTTCTAAAATATTACAAGTTCATAGTTACGAGGGAAAAACATTTTTGAGAAATATAAACACTTCTAGTTCAGTACCTAACATCGAACACCAACCACAATATGTCTACGGAGCCTCTAAGTACAACACAAGAGTAGTATGGAAGAGTCGGCGACAAGGCCCCGGCTATACCTCAAAACACAAAGTATAACATCAAGTGACATAAGGCTCGAAACAGAATAGGGCTCACCAAAACCTACTGAGTAGAGGGTAACTGCTAACGAGGATCAAAGTTGCCCGTTGACGAATCACCTGTATCCATTGAAGATGAAGTGCCCCCGGCAAAAGGGACGTTAGTACATATGGAATAGTACTAGTATATAAAGCTAAACACCCTCTTTCGAAATAGAATTCCAATATAAGAAGGGTAAAACCATGAAAGAAGCAAGTAACAATCAATTATATCCAAATGCCAAGTTAAAATATAATAATTTTCGAAATACGAAAATAATATTATTTTTGGCTGGGAGATTATTAGCCTCCGATCATCACACCAATCACGAGGCATGGAGTCCAATCACAAACTCAATCGGCTGAGCCATCTCGCCACGAACAATGTGGATTGACATGGTCATGCAAAAAAAAGATGTTACCAAGAGTAGGAACCACCATGCGTACGACATGGTGTCCGAACTCCACCCGATCGGCTAGGCCGCCTCCCCACATATGTTGTGTGGGTCGAATTCCAATCCAGGGCTATCAACAATGTCATCCCAATAAAGGGGAAAAATCTCAACACATAAATCTCTCCCAATTAAGGGGAGTAATCACAATTCAGTCCTACACGGGCACATGTAGTTTCGAGTGTGAGCCTTACGACTCACCCTTCCTCAGCTCTCTAATGATAATCCCAAAACATTTTGGTTTGTACACAAAGGAAACAAAAATACAAATACACTCTCCTCATAACCGTTCACACCATATATCGTTTCATTAGTACTTTCAACCAATCACAATATCATTATCTCATTGGCTCTCTTGGCTATACATATGATTCTTCATTCATGGCACGATGGCCGTATCTCATATTCCACACTTTCATTTCTTTTCTTACAAGGATCATCATCATAAACATCAAAATATAGAATATTTCAAAAATCATAATCACAATTAAGGGAAATAATCACAATCCACTCATACACCGACACGTGTAGTTTCAAGTGTGGGCCTTTCGACCCACCCTTCCTTGGCTCGCTAATGATACTCCCAAAACATTTTGTTTTGCACACAAAGGAAACAGAAATACAAATACATTCACCTTATAACCTTTCACACCATATATCGTTTCATTCATACTTTCAACCACTCACAACATCATTATCTCATTGGCTCTCTTGGCTATACATATGATTCTTCAATTATGGCACGATGGTCGTATCTTATATTGCACACTTTCATTTCCTTACTTTCAAGGATCATCATCATACACATCAACATATAGAATATTCCGAAAATTATAACTTTAAGTTCATTAGTAATGAAGGCTTTAAACTCAATAGATTTCTTTCCAAAGTATGTAGCAAAATGACTTGCAATCGCAACACAAGTTAAAAATCATAAACAAGTAATGCACCATTTCTTTTTGAAATACTTCTCTAAAAAGGCAATGCAAAATTTCAACTCATGGTAAATAAGAACTCAAAAGAGATTGGAAACTCTAACAAAGGAGATCATAGTGATTTACGATTGAAGCACGAATTAATATCATATGCTATAGCTACAACAACCATGCTCACATTTTATATCTCACTCTTACTTCTTTCACTTCCAAACATCGTCATAGTTTATCAACAATAAGGGCATTTGGAAATCGAGATTTGATATATGAGCAATATGGGTCTTAAGCACATTGAGTTTTCTTTCCAAGTTAAGCATAATGAACTTTCATTTGAAACATGAATTGAAGTTATAACATTTTAATACGTAAGCCATACTTGAACACATTCTCGAAAGAGAACATGATAAGATAGGACCAATTAGAACACGTTTTGAGTATATACGTCTTTCAACACAACGCTTACTTGGGATATTCGAATTTATTAGGAACAATTAGGAACATGGGAATTATGAACCTTGGCCAACCATACTTGAAACTTACGGGAACATCATGGAATTCTATCCTAAAAGAGTAGTTTAGCCAACATACCTTGCTTGATCTTTCCTTAGATTACTACAACATCCCAATACTTCTAGCAACCTCAATCTATAGGAAGATAGCAAAAATCGGATAATAATTAGAAGGATTCTCATGACATAAGTCTCTTGGGAATTTTATCAAACACCTATTATGCAAAATTGACTACAAAGCTCTACAATGATAATCCCTTCTTCCCTCAACCAATTTCAACAAGAACCTACCCAAAATAGTTCAGCAACCCCACATACTACCTCTTATTGGCACATGCATGGCCTATCCCCAACCCTGCAACATACATAAACCTATAACCTCATGCATGAAAGCTTAGGAGAAGGACTTGCCCAGATAGATGATAGTCTAGTGAGTGATTCCATTGAATTTTCAAGATTAGGACAAGGATTGATGATTAGAATTGATAGGTCTACTCCCTCTCTCTCTAAGATACTCACTTCTCTCTAAAACATCTGATTTTTGCCTTCAAAACGAGCCCAAAAGGCTTTTAATCAAAATGAGATCGGGTTATAAAAATAGAAAAATGGACCCTCCGAACTCAACTCTGCGGTCACGGAGCGGACCACAGAACAGATATGCGGCCCGCAAAATGGACCGCATAAATGATCCCAAAAATTGGGCTAGCCTGGACTAGTCTGTGGCAGGTCTGCGGTCCATAGACCAGTTATACGACCGTGAAATGGACCGCAAAATCACCCTCCGAAATTCTTCATGCTAAATCTACGACGGAAGTGCGAACCGTGAAACAGATATGCGATAATGGACCGCACAATGATCTTGAAAATTCAACAATTTTTTCTGCTCAACTCTGCAATGATTATGCATCCCGCGGAATGGATATGCAGTCACGAATCTGACCCGCTAAATTGCCTCCTACAGCAAAAATTTCCACCATCTCCTCAATGCATTCTTCAACCCAAAAAGTCTGTACCGCGGCGAGCGATGATTAACTACTACCTTCGGACACATTAGCCTACCCCGGCGCCACAAAACCTTAAATTCCTTAGCAAAAATCCATGGGCCTTACAACGGGACTTCCTCATCAAGGAAAAAGTGATTTGCCTACCTTCGGAGCACCCGCTTCTGATTATTAGTAGCATTTTTTGGGTATTCTCTTGTTTTGAGGAATCTTCTGATGTCGTGGTACCATGGTTTACTGACTGGCTCTTCATCTACATGAAATTAGTATGCATGTTGATCCCTGATCTCTACCTCGATAGGGTCGATATAATTCTTATCTAGATGTTGAATCATGGACGATAGGGTTGCAAAAGCATCAGTGAACTCGTTCTGGATCCTGGGAACGTGCTTGAACTCAATCATTATAAACTTCTTGCATAATTCTTTTACACGGTGCATGTATGGAAGGATCATGAAATGTTTGGTAGACCACTCCCCTTGGACTTGATGTATCAATAGATCGGAATCCCCTATGACCAAAAGCTCTGTGATGTTCATGTCGACTGCCATCTTGATCCCAAGGATGCATGCTTCATACTCGGCCATATTGTTGGTACAAGGGAATCTTATCTTTGTTGATGCTGGATAATGCTGTCCTGATTTCAAAATTAGGACTGCCCCAATTCCTACTCCTTTAAAATTCGCCGCTCTATCGAAAAACATTCTCCATCCAGGGTATGATTCTACAATATCTTCTCTAGCGAACAATACCTCCTCGTCGGGAAAGTACGTAGTGAGCGACTTATATTCCTTATCCGCTGGATTCTCTGCAAGGTGTTCCGCTAGAGCTTGTCCTTTGATAGTCTTTTGGGTTATGTATACAATGTCAAATTTACTGAGAAGAATCTTCCATTAAGCTAGCTGTCTGGTAGGAATCGGCTTCTAAAATATATACTTGAGTGGGTCGAGCCGAGATATCAAATGCATAGTGTACGCTGACATGTAATGCCTCAAATTCTGGGTGATCCAAGTCAAAGCACAACAAACGCGCTCTATCAAAGTGTATTTGGCCTTGCATGGTGTGAACTTCTTCCTTAAGTATTAGATGGTCTGCTCCTTTCTTCCGGTTTCGTCGTGCTGTGCCAACACACATCCAAAGGTGTTATCCAGGACTGAAAAGTACAACAATAATGGCTTCCCGGGATCGGGGGGAACCATCACTGGTATATTTAACAAATATTCCTTAATTCAGTTAAAGGCTTTCTGACACTCTTCTGTCCATTTTGTGGCAGCATCCTTTTTCAGCAGTTTGAAGATAGGTTCACAAATTACTGTAGACTAGGCTATGAAACGACTGATGTAATTAAGTCTACCCAGGAAAATCATCACATATTTCTTAATCTTGGGTGGTGGCAACTCCTGCATGGCTTTGATTTTTGATTGATTCAATTCTATCCCCTTTTTGCTTAAGAAACCTAACAATTTTCCAGCAGGGACTCCGAACACGCATTTTGTCGGGTTCAACTTCAAGCAGTACCTCTGCAAGCATTCGAAAAATTTCCTCAACTCATCCAAATGTTCTAAACTTTTTTGAGACTTGATGATGACATCATCCGCATACACCTCAATCTCTTTGTGACTCATATCATGAAAAAGGGTCATCATGGCCCTTAGCACCAGCATTTTTGAGGCTTAAAGGCATGGCTCTGTAGCAGTAAACTCCCTAAGGTGTAGTGAAGGCTGTCTATTCTGCATCTTCTTCGTGCTTTAGGATCTGGTGGTATCTAGTGAAATAATCCACGAATGACTACAATTCATGCTTCGTGCAGTTGTCGATGAGGATATGGATATTTGGTAAATGGAAGTCGTCCTTTAGGCTGGCTTTGTTGAGATCTTGGTTATCCACACATATCTTGATCTTCCAAACTTTCTTGGTTACTAGGACGATATTTTCTAACCAAGTGGGATAATTGGTGACCATTACTACATTTGCCTCTATTTGCTTGGTTACTTCTTCTTTTATCCTCATACTCAGGTCAAGCTTGAATTTTTTGGGTTTTTGCTTCACTGGGGGTCTAGCTGGATTGGTAGGCAATCGATACGAGACAATATCAGTACTTAATCTAGGCATGTCATCATATGACCATGCGAACATATCGATCTATTTTCGGAAGAGCTCAACCAATTCTTCCTTTTGCTCTGCTTTTAGTTGGATACTGATTCGGGTTTCTTTCACGTCTTCCTAGCTTCCGAGGTTGACCACTTTTGTCTCTTTGAGATTGGGCTTTTTTTGGCTTTCTAGCTGTTTGATCTCTTGTGGGAGATTGTCTGGCATCATACTCTTATCTTATTCCTTGTAATTTGGATCATTTTTCTCGAGGGTCTCGTTACATGTCACAATCGTGGAACACAGGTTTTTATCATTTTGATTATTGAAAAGAAAAAATAAGTATAAATGAAGCAGTAAATAAAGTTGCAATAATTTTAAGAAAGCGATTCTTATTATTGCATAAAAAGGGGAACGTCTGAGCGTTCAAAGAGGCAAATGACAAAAAGGCACAGACAAGGTTCAAGCCTCAATTGACCGTGCACCTTTTTCAAAAAAACTATACAATTCCACACTACCAAGACTCCCAATGAACCAAAGACAGGTTGGCGGTCCAATTCCACAGATCCTCTCCTGGTTCGACATTCTGAATGGTCGGTGTATTGATATCAATTGTTTCACAGCATTTCTTCAATCATAGTCACGCACAGCTTTCCCATCCCATCGACAATATCATCCTATGCCGCTGAGCTTTGGCCCGTACCCGAGACATGCTCTGGCACACAAGCCTTTTTCCCGGAGCTACCAGTACAAGTCTTCCCAATCGGAGGCTGATACCCTACGCCGACTCTTCCTTTCTGCCCATTTGGCTCAATTGGTTATATTATCCCGTCTGATTGGGCTCCCAACCCAGTTCCTGGTCTATATCGATATTTCATCATCTCCCTCATGGCCATATTTGATCTATACGGCAATTGCATTCCCAAGTTTTTCTCAGTCTCTTCCATTTTGGTAGTCTTCATGATTTCCACTGCATGGAAAGCAACCCCGTCTAGTCCTTCTATGAACGGAGTCGCGTGTTCTAGATAAGCTTATTGGCTCCATTAGCCATGGACCACGATCTCTTGACAACCCAACTCAAAATTCATGCACTGGTGTAGGGTGGATGGGATGACCCCTGCCACGTGTATCTAAGGTCTTCCCAGTAGTAAGTTGTATGAAGAGGAAATATACATCACTTGAAATAGTATGGTAAATTAAACTAGTGCGATATGCAAAGCCAAATAAATTTCTCAAATGACATCCTTTTGCGACCCATCAAAAGCCCTTACCCTCACATGACTTTCCTCGATTTCCCTCAGGTGGATACCCAGCTCTCGTAGAGTAGAGAGTGAGCAGATGTTGACTCATGTTCCTCAATCAACTAGTACTCGAGACACTACCTTGTCTCCACATTTGACAGTGATGTGTAGAGCTTTGTTGTGACCCAAGCCTTCGATAAAAATCTCATCTCTTCAGAAAGTGATCATATCTTCTTCGACCATTTTCCCAATAGTTTCTACCAGTGCCTCGTTGGTGGTATTGCTTGGCACACTTACCCAACTTAACACTTTCACCAGGGCATCCTTATGTCTGTCAGAACTCATCAGAAAATACATGATTGATATTTACGCCGCAGGTTTCTTCAGTTGTTCCTCCATGGAGTATTCTTTGGTTGCCATCTGTTATATTCCTTCTTTGAATCTGCTCCCTTCCCAAGTTCCCTCAATTTGCATCCTCAGGGGCGTAACATCTTCCAGACCTAGTCACACCGTGGGCTGTCGTGGAATCTGTCATCTTGGATTTTCTCTTTTTCTGATATGTCCACAGGACAGTTTTTTATTCCCGATCCTTTTCGTCCCTGGTAGCAGCGGTGGATTGGTGCTGGTAAGTCTAAACCATCACTGTGGGTCTTGGTTGTACTATGATCATCAGAGTCCTTTGAGGTGGGACCCTTGCGGCCTTTGCATTTCCTTTCAAATCGTATTATTCATCCAAGGTGATCATGTTAACCCCTTGATTCCAGTGATTCGGCAGCATATTATGGTTTACATTTGGCGGAGCCGGAGTGCACTGAATGGTTCCAGTTTTGACCAATGATTCAATCTCATTTTTCAGCTTGAAAAAATCTTCAGTGTCATACCCAGGCACGTTTTAATGGTACGCGCACCTTTTGGCTGCATTAAAATACTTTGAGGGATTCTCGGGACCCTCCCCTCTACTAGATGTATTAAACCTGCTCTCCTCAATCTTTCAAATAGTTGAGCCAGAGATTCAGCAATCGGGGGGTAATTTCTGGGACCTCTCTCTTCCAAATTCGGGCGAGGTCGGGGTGCATAATTGGGTTGGTTTTGATGAGTGGTGGTTTGGACGGGAGCATATAGTCGTGGTGGGTTTAGATTGTTATGGGTTTGAGGTGGGTTATTGTCGCGCCTCGACCTCGGGGAGCACAACCGGTGCTCAACCGAGATACCCCGGTCGAGTAAGCCTGCACAATGCCGTCTACCCGACCCACCCAAGAATAAAGAGAAGATATATTTCATTAATTAGGCAATAAGAAGGTCACGGGAACATCACCACTGGTTACTTCATTTATAAGTATCAAAATACATTACAAATTCATAGGTTAAAGTGGAGCACGTGATACAAATACAAAATTTTTAGTTTGATTTTCCCAATTCCAATATAGAACCCATACCATGTCTACGGAGCCTCTAACAGAAACCAAAGAGTGTTATGACAGTGCTAGCAACAAGGCCTCGGCTATACCTCAAAATGCTATGTACGAAGGACAAAAGATACAGGACCCTGAAATGATGTGGAGCTCACCAAGTCAGCTAAGGATAGGGTATACAACTATCACTACTCAATGTCGCCTGCTGTAGAACCACCTGCATCCATTAAAGATGTAGCGCCCCCAACAAAAAGGACGTTAGTACATATGGAATAGTACTAATATGAAAACTAAACACCCCCTCAATAGAACGAGTAATAATACAATGATAAAGAAACATGGAATCAATGAGGGCCTCACCAATATTAAAGTACCAAGTTATGAGAAAGAATAAGTTTCAAGCAAGTTTCAATATTTTAAGTCGGGAGATCTTTAGTACTGATACACCATCATGCTTTAAGCATGAAGTCCAATCTCAGCCCGATCGGCTAAGCCGTCTCGCCCTAGTCGTCCACTCACAATACAGCCATATGCACGGCATGGCGTCCGATCTCAGCCCGATCGGCTAAGCCGTCTCACCACAATTCCATGTGGGTCGACGTCACCTCACATTCCGCTAGAAATCATCTCATCCCATTCAATGGGATCTACCTCAACACATCATCCCATATTGGGTAAAACTCTCACCACCTCACACGGGGATTTTACCCCCCACTCACTCCTACATCGGAACGTGTACTTTCGGGGTTAGGTTATTTCAACCTACCCTTCCTCGGTGACTAAGCGATACTCCCAAGGCATTTATTATTAAACGAATTTAGAGCCCATTTCAATGTCTTTTACACTTGTCTTCATTTCATTAGCACTAGTGGCCTCTATTGTAATATCACTCTCTGCGCGTTAACCGTGTTTCATATCTCATGCTCACTTCTGTTGCTTTCAAACACCATCAAGGATTATCAACAACAAGGCATTTCTATTCAAGACCTTAAGTACACATGTGAGCAAATAAGAGTCTTAGGAACGATGAGATTTCTTACATAATTCGACATAATAGCTTTTATTAGAATCATGTCTTGAAGTTATAACATGTTAACACACAGCCCATACTTAGATCACATTCCCGATGGATAACACAATAAGATAAAAGCATTCTGAATAGTCAATTTATAATGATCAACCCGGGCCTTAAAAGAACAACGTGGGATTCAATTCTAAGAGAGAAATTTAGCCAACATACCTCGCCTTGAGCGTCCTTAAATTACTACAATGTTCCGGAAATCTTAGCAACTTTGATCTATTTGGAAATATAACAAAATAGAACATAAATTAGGAAAGAGTTCATGGTCCAGCTCATTTGAGCATTTTATCAAGCACTAGGTGTGTATTAAGGTTTCAAGGTCCTCATATGGTGGATTCCTTCATCCACTACCCAAAGTCTACCCAATTGACATCAACAATCTTCTCACAAACCTTGATAGTACATGCATGCATAATGAACAACTCCCACATCGAAGAATTGCTTTTCTCACTACCTATTTTCAGTTAAATCCCGAAATTAAGGGCTAGGAAGTAGAATCTTACCTCTAAGATGAAGACCTAGTCAGTTATCCTTGTTAATCCTCCAAGCCTTGAGCAAGAATTGATGAACAAGTTTAGGAACCCCCTCTCATAATATAGCACTTCCTCACTCTAAAAATATCAGATTTTTACTAAACAAATGGTCCTTAACATCTATATATTAAAGTAGGGTCGGGTTATGAAAACCAGAAACTGGACCCTCCAAACACAGCTCTGCGGTCGCAAGTGGACCGCAGAACGGATATGCGGTCCGCAAAATGGGCTGCAGAAGTGATGTCAAGAACTGGCTATTCGGTTCAGGTCTGCGGTCCGCAGACCAGTTCTGCAGTCACATAATGCGCC